TCACTGTTAGTGGACTCTATGGCCTCAGGCTGTGCTTCACTCCTTCGTGACTTGAGTCGCTGGCCCCACTCAGCCATAGCGTCTCTTTCATTCTGGCACCCACCATATTGAGAATGCCTGCCGTGTGCTAAAGCATTGTGCTGGGCATGGGAGGTACCTCAGAGGAATGAGATGGGACCTGTGCCCACTGGCGCTTAAATTACAATTTTATTATAATCTGCCCATTCAGTAGTTTTACTGTATGTGGTTGGGGCTACCCCCCTCCCCACACTTCTGGAGCACCTCCTAAATTTGGCAGAGAGAAAAGGACTTTGTCCCCCCTCCCCAGCTTGTCTGTTTGTATCATTTTGGTAAATGTAGCAATCTTGACCTAGAGCCAGCATTCCAGAAGCCCTGGCTCCTACTTCCACTCTGCCTCCTATTTGTGTGTAACTGTGGGCAAGATAAAGAAAGAGCTTTATCTTCTTCATCCTTCGAGTAAAGATCATACTTCCCCACAAAACTGTGAAGCAGTTAAAAGAAAATGCCAGCTGAGGAAGTTCTTTGGAAAGTTCAGAGCACCAGAGATTGAGACATTTGTCATTGATGGCTGCAGTAGACCTTGGGAAGAAGTCAGGGCTGTGGTCAAGGTTGTCAGGGCAGGGAGAGTTGACGGGGCAGGGGTTGGGGGTGCTGGGCAATGCCTTCATTCATGCATTCAGTTCTTTCTGTGCACCCACCTCTTGTAAGGGGCTGTTCTAGGTGCGGTGGGAACACCCTTTCCACTCTCCAGAAGCTGCTTGTGAGGCTGAGCTCAGATGGGGCTCACATTCCTCCTGAAGATCACCTGCTTACACTCCAATCATTGGTCACAGAAGTCTGATCTTCCTGTACTGTACATTTTCAGTTTATCTAACAACCCTGCTGTCTGTCTTTGCTATGCTTTTTTCCCCCTCACTAGATATAAGGCTGCCAACTTTCAGACCCCACTGCTACTTTTTTTCAGATTTAATCAGCCTTGTTTTTTTCCCTCCTGAAACAACTAAGCCATCCCTTTGATCCTTTCTAATATAGCTGCTCAAAATTTACAAAATTGCAGTTTCATTTTATAAGTGTTTATTTATTTACTTTGAGAGAGACTGAGAGAGAGAGAGAGAGAGAGCGAGCGCGGGAGGAGCAGAGAAAGAGAATCCCAAGCAGGCTCTGTACTGTCAGCGCAGAGCCTGGTGCTGGGCTTGAACTCACCAACCATGAGATCATGACCTGAGCTGAAACCAAGTCAGACTCTTAACCTACTGAGCCAGGTGGGCACCCTGGTTTTATATCCTTAGTTGTTACTGATCTTAAGTTTTTATGAATTTCATGTTGATGTATATTTTCAAGCATTCTGACTAGCAAGTAATTTCAAGTAGAGACTGATTTTCTGGTTTGCTGTAGCCATTTGTTTAGGTAAAATTTTAATTACCTTTTTTTTTTTGGTAAAGAATAATGGATATTGGGGCGCCTGGGTGGCTTAGTCGGTTGAGCGTCCGACTTCAGCCAGGTCACGATCTCGCGGTATGTGAGTTCGAGCCCCACATCGGGCTCTGTGCTGACTGCTCAGAGCCTGGAGCCTGTTTCCGATTCTGTGTCTCCCTCTCTCTGACCCTCCCCCGTTCATGCTCTGTCTCTCTCTGTCTCAAAAATAAATAAACGTTAAAAAAAATAATAAAAAAAAAAGAATAATGGATACACATTGCTTGAAATCCATTAACCAGAGTATGTGGAGAAAAGTCTCCCTCCCTCCTTTTTTCTTCTTGGAGGAAACAGTGTTGCCATTTCTTGGGTAGATTTCTGAGACCTGCAGCTATCTGTACAAGTTGCAAGTTACATGCACATACACGTGCCCCCTTTTTTGAACAGAGAATATTTGCTTCCTAAACTCACTGTTCTACAACTTGCTTTATTTATCTCATGATGTCTCTTATTCTGTAGTTGTTAACTTACAGGAAGCTTCTTCAGTCTTTTTTTGGTTGCCCAGTATTTCATTATGAGATGGGACCATAATTGATTTTATCAGTTCCCTTTCAGTGGACACTTATTTAGCTTGTTTCCATTCTTTTGCTAATGCAAATAATGCCACAGTGAACAACCTTGTACATATGTCATTTTTGCATAAATGAAGGTATAGCTGTGGGATAAATTCTCATTCATGGAGTTGCTGAGTCACAGGGTATGTGCATTTATAAAGTTAATATGTTGCCAAATTGCCCTACTTTAAAGTGGTTTCAATCTATACTACTACTGGCAATGTGAGAGAGACTTCCTGTTTATCCTCTCCAACTCAGTCATTCAATTTTTACCTTTGTTCATAGGTTCATGGAGAATGGTCTCTCGCGGTTGTTTTAGTTTGTCCACCTCTTAACCATGAGTGAGACTCAGCATCTTTTCACTTGCCTGAGAGCCACTGGATTTCTCACTCTGAACTGTCTCTTCATATCCTTTGCCCATTTTTCTATTTGTTTTTCTTTGTCCATTTGTTGTTCTTTCTGTTAATTGATTTGGGGAGGAGTGCTTTGTGTATTAGGGAAGTTAACTCTTTGCCTTGATAGAAGTCCTAAGTTTATCATTTTTCCTTTGTTGATTCTCTGTTGTGCAGATTGACCGGTTTTTTTCCTTTATGATTTCTGGGTTGTGTCATATTTTAGAAGGGTCTTCCCTGCTCTGAGATGGTTGTGTTTTGGTTTTGGTTTTTTAATTTGCCCATTGTTTCTTCCAGAACTTTTTTCCATTCTTGTTTGTTTTTAGTTTTTTTATTCTATGAATGTCCAGAGTATATTTTGGTATAAAGTATGAATTACAATTCACCTTTTCCCACGCAACAGTTATTTATTTCAGCCTTGCTTTTATTTTATCTGGAACTTACAAACGTTATGTCCTGTCAAACTCTCTTCTACCATCCCGCTACATCTAACATGAATCAGATTGATTTAGGATGACAGATAATTTTTTTAGGAGGCAATTTGGCATTGTCTTCAGAGTCTAAAAGACCTGGTTTCAAATGCAAACTCTGTATCTTCTTATCTGTGTAGCCTTGGGCAAATTAAAATTACATAACCTTTCTGAGCCTTTGTTACGTCATTTGTAAAATATGGTTGATAGTACTCCATTTTGCAGAGGGGGGGGGTGACAATTAGCAATAATGTTTAGAAACTGCCTGTTCAGTGCCTGGCACACAGTAAATACTTGATAAACAGGAGCTGTTATTATGGTCGTTATTGTTGCCAATATCAGTAGTGTGATGTTGGTCTGAATGAAAACATTGTGTCCCCCCCAATCCCTGTATGTATTCATTCTTCAGGACAAGCTGGTGTTCCTGGAAATTGGATATGGGGCTTCCCTGCCTAGGCCGAAAGGCATTGCAAATACCCTAGTAATAATTGGGCTAGCATTTTTTAAGGCCATACTCATAACTTCTGGGCAGATGTTAAATTGTTAGGGTGTACTTTAAAATAAGATTGCGCCTTGCTGCAAGAGAAAATCTGTCTGATTGTGTAGTTTGGTTTTATAAGCAGATCTGTGAAGTTAACAGTTAAGCATTGTTTGTCCAACATTAACATGAGTGCTGTTTGGCCAGATGATGGTTTAAGAAATGGAATCTGTATGATCTCTTACCTCAGAGCCTTATGTTCAGTCCTCTCATGAATCTGGAAATCACTTAATTGGGTGCCTGAACAGAAGTTCATAGTAATTCATTATTGTTTTATTTTATACTTCTCATGTATCCCAATGCTCTCGATTTTTTTTGTATGTTAACTTGATTTTCTTATAAAGTTTTTATCTTCTTTTTTTAGTAATGTTTAATCTTTGTCTTTTGAAAGCTCTTTCGCTGCAGTCCTTCCACTGATAAACTCAGCCTTCAAAAATCAGTTTTAAATGTATTGCTTGTAGTCTTATTATGTCTAAGTATCTCCTTCTGTTCTGTTTTCTTATTTTCTGTCTACTCATCCTGCATCTTTTTAAACTGAAACCCTGGACTTTCCTCTCTCAAGCTTCTTAATAATGATCAACAATTCACAAAATCTTTCTGTCTTATACTTCTGTTTTCCCTCTTTTGTTGGTTTCTCTTGAACCCCAAATATGTTACTAGACTCTCCTTTTTTTTTTTAAATGCAAACAGTGAGAACCTTAATTTTTTTTTCTGCCATCAGATTTCCCAAAGGGAATTTTACTTGGTTTTATACAATAGATTTTCTTCCTAATAAATAATCAGTCCACAAATATCAAAGGTTTACCATGTGCCAGCCTTTGAGGATACAATGAGAGAATAATCCCCGAGTTTACTTTCTATATTGAAGACAGACAACATATCAACCAACAAGTGGAATCATTTCAGTTACTAGGGTTATGGAGGAGATAAACACAGCAAAAGATTAGAAATGACCAAGCGCAGAGGGAAGAAACTCATTCCCTTTCTTCATAGTTCTTTTGCTTCTGGTCTGACTTTAAGTCTTATATTCTGTTTTTAATGATTTTTCTTTTAATAAGTATTATTTTCTGGTGTTTTCTTATTGCCCAACATTTTCGCCCTTTTTGTTCATCCCTTAGGTAGTCAACTGCCTGTTTTTAAGAATTGATACATAATCTTGTTGCATTATGTTTTCTTCTTTATAATGTTATGCTTTCTTTCTGACTTCTAAAAGATTTCTTTGCACAGTCTATATCATAAAGGTCATCTTTAGTGATTCTTGAAATCAAAAAGCATTTACCTTTTGACATCCTGGGCATTAAAAAAAAAAAAAAAAGAACAGTGATTCTCAAATGTTTGTCCGAAGAGAATGTATGTTGGTGTGCAAGGTTGCCAATGGCATTTTTTGTAAGAACTGGACTTTATTATAAGATGGTATTATTTTAGGAATTGATAGTGAATGCTAAGTAGTATTTGTAATGACTTTGCTCAGCAAAATGAAGTTAACAATCCCAATCATGTCGTCTGTTTAGATCTGAAAATGAATACTCAGTGTTTTCTTTTCTGCTTTCAGGGATGACTCTGTCCCAGAAGACAACATCTGGAGGGGTATCCTTTCTGTTGTTTTCTTCTTTCTTATCATCAGTGTGTTAGCTTTTCCCAATGGTAAGTGACGTATTTCTCCTGTGCATGGTATCCTTTTGGTGTTTTTGAGATGCATGCCACCTAAAAGGTGAAACTGGAAAGTGGAGTAAAAACTTAATCTGTGGTGGTTAGGGCACAGGCCCTGGAGGCAAACTGCCCCTTCTGCCAGTTGCTAGAAGTGGTCCTGGGTAAGTCCCCTAGCATTTTCACCGTGCTTGAGTTTCTCTTTTGTACGTTGGAAATAACAGGTAGGTACTGTTGAAAGGGTTAAATAAATAAACTAATACATGTTATATTCTCTGAGTAGTGACTGACCAATCGTAAGCTCTTAATAAGTGTCCGCTGTTGTTCTTGTTGCTATTTTTGCTGTATCAGCTGAGTCATAAAAATACACAATTATTATTTAGTCCTTTTTGCTAATGACAGGGTCAGTGCTGTGATGAGTATTACTTAAATAACGTGTTGTTCCAGATGATCTTTTTATCACAGTAAACTTTGCTGATCATGCATTTGAGATACGAATTTTCATCATCAGATGAAAAAAAAAGACCATTATTACAGTGAATTTTATCTCCCATCATGATTATAGAGTGAGGCAAAGTCTGTTAAAAAAAAAAAAATCTGCCATACTCAGGATTCATCCCTTTCCTCTGAATTGTCCCTTGCTTTACTTTTTCTTATTTCTCTTTTGTACCTTCTCCCTGGAATATGCTTACTTATTTTCTGTAACCATTTATAAATGCTTCCTTTTTGTAGCCTATTTCTTTTACACTTTAGATATTTTGAAATTGTTCAGTCTTACCTATGAATTATGCTCCATGGGCCGTACTCAAACATCATACTTTAGGGTGTGTTTCTTCTCTATCCTCCTGTCTCTTCAGTAGATGTAATGTATAATATAAGAAGCTCATTGTGAATGTTACTCATTGCTGCTTGGAAATGTACCATGGTAATTACGTTCTAATGCCAATTCCAAAATATGTGTGTTGGGGGATAGTAGCAGGCCTGGGGCGGGGGGAGGTGTTCCCCCATCAGTAAGCAATTTTCAGACACCAGCTGGTTGCCCTACAGTTCAACTCAGTTCTGACACTGTCTACCCAGAATTAACATCAGTTCCCACAGGTTAAGGGCTCAAGCTTAAGACTGTCCCCATGTCAGATGCCAATTGCAAGTCCAGAGTGTCACCTGTGCTTCTGACCGAATGGTTATAAATCAGAGGTTCCCATGACCCCTCCTTGGGTTCAGTTAATTTGCTAGAGTGGCTCACAGGATTCAAGAAATAAGTTTACTCGCTAGATTACAGTACCAGTTTATTACAAAGGGTATTTATCAACAGCCAAATAAAGAGATGCATAGGATAAGACATGGGGGAAGGGGCAAGGAGCTTCCATGCCCTCTCTCTGTGTACCACTTTTCTGGCATCAGAAAAGTGTTCACCAACCCAGAAGCTCCCCAGACCCCACCTTTTGGATTTTTATGGAGGCCTAATTTACATAGGCATAATTGATCCAATCATTGGCCATTGGGGATCCAACTCAATCTCTAGCCTCTCACCCTTCCCTGGAGGTCTGGGGGTGGGACTGAAAGTTCCAACCCTCTAATCACACGGTTGGCTGTACTGGCAACCAGCCCCATCTTTAGGTGCTTTTGAGTTCTCATTAACACAGCAAAAAACATGCATTACCCTCATCACTTAGAAGATACCAATGGTTTTAGGAGATCTGTGCCAGAAAAGGACACAAAGACCAAATATATATTTCTTATAAATCACAGTATTACACATGGCAAGGCCTTCAGTCTTTTCAAGATCGTGGCAATAGTGTTTCGTTCTGTATGTTTGCTTAATCTTACATAACACTACGTGGTTTTTGCTGATAACATAATCCAACCAGTAAAACCATGACTGAATTCTTAAGAGAATGAGTTGTTTTAGATAACTAAGTTATTTGACAGCTGAGTTTAACTCTCCAACCACTCACGCTTCTAGATTAAATTTTATTTTTAGTGGAAGCCTTTCAAGATGTGAAAGCCTGCTGTCTCAGTCAGTGCAGGCTGCTATAACAGAATGGCCTAGACTGGATGGCTTAAACAACACAAGATTCATCTTGTGGCAGAATTCCCCTCCAGCTGTAAACCTGTGAAACCAAGCACATGCTTACAGAATATAGCAGTGGGACAAGCTCTTTTCTTCCAAAAGGGAGAAATAGGAAGGAAGGAAGGGTGACAAGTCCCAAGCAAGTTCCAAATCAGGAAGGCAAACTCTGTGAGATTTTAAAGCTCAAGAATCATCAATCCTGGGAGCACCTGACTGGTTCAGGTTGGTGGAGCGTGTGACTCTTGATCTTGGTGTTGCGAGTTCTAGTCCCATGTTGGGAGTAGAGTTTTCTTAAAAAAAAAAAAAAAAAGAAGAAGAAGAAGAAGAATCAATCCTTTTTGGATCAGTGCTCTGCCTTCCAGACCTACTGGGGTAATAATAGTCTGCTTCCATAGCTCTGCCCAGCAAGGAGTCTAGCCTGCCCCCATGGGTCTGCTGGGTGTTTATCTTGCCTTTAGAAACCAAGGTGGAGGGGCGCCTGGATGGCGCAGTCGGTTAAGCGTCCGACTTCAGCCAGGTCATGATCTCGCGGTCTGTGAGTTCAAGCCCTGCGTCAGGCTCTGGGCTGGTGGCTCGGAGCCTGGAGCCTGTTTCCAATTCTGTGTCTCCCTCTCTCTCTGACCCTCCCCCGTTCATGCTCTGTCTCTCTCTGTCCCAAAAATAAATAA